ACTGGAGAAATAACTTGTTTCCATCTACGGAACACTGGTTCACCACCGTGCAGCTAACCTGCAGAGACTCGGCTAGTGGAAACAGACACGGGCCGAAGCAGGGATGGGTGGGCTGGATGAGGATGGAGCGTAGAAGGGATGGTCATGTTTTCTCTCCCATGAGATCAAATTAACAGGATTAAGAGAAAGAAAACAAAATGAAGTCTGAAGGACCAAATGAGGCCAAACAGATAGAAGACTTCTACAGACATACTCTCGGAAATTTCAAGCACTTGAATCACAAAGGTAGTAATGGATGGATATGATTTGTTTTGGATTTTGTTTTTAAGTTGCCAGACCCAAAAATAAACAAAATATGTGCAGGCAAAACTGAAGAAGCAGCACCGCTAGACGACCCTGAGCCCTTGTCCTCATGCAGTAAAGCAAGGGGCTTTCCCAGGGGGAAAGGGGCATTATTATCTCAGAGTCCAGTCCTGAGATGGACCTGTCCTGCCATCTTCAAGTGGTATCCTCAAGTTTGACAGGTATAGGGTAAGATGGGAGATGAAATGATTTATACAAACTGAAACCTTTCTTCATCCTTCCTGTTGAAGTTGCTATCTGCACATTCAGAATTCTGACCTGACAGCAAAGTGAAATAATATCCACATTAAGAAACACGGTGCTGAATGGTTTCAGACTCAAAATCATTAACCAAAAAAGGGTGGATCCTCAAGTGCATGGTTTTGAGTAAAATGAAATTGTAATGTGTGAGGTAGAACAGCTTTCGGTCAGGCCTGCGCGACCCCCGCGCTCAGGCAGGAGGCTGCGGCCGGAGGAGCTCGGCGGGGCCTGGCGGTGGGGCTGGAAGGGCGGTCTTAGCTTTGAAAGCTGTGCTTTATGGCTACAATTATAAAGCCATTGGAAATGTGGACCAAGATCTGTTGAACAAGCATTGTATTTTGTTCCCAATGTCATCAAATTAGAATGCCAACTATCAAGTCAGTTTGATATGGTATTTTGACTTGCGGTTTTTCGTTTCTAGCGCATCTGCCGGGGCCGGGTAACTACAGCAGGGAGATGACATCCATCATCACAGGGGACCCGGGAGCACGTGCAGACACACACAGTGAATGTGCACGCCCGTGTGCACACCTCAGGGTCACTCTTCCTGTGGAAGCACCAAAACCACCACCGGCTTTGGGGTAGCTGTGGGTGTCTAGGGCCAAGGAATAGCTTTAGCGACCGAAGTCAAAGGACCCACGGGGTTACTGGTTTCCTTGCTACCACACCAGCTCTGCGAACACGGAAACTGCAGGGCTCAATCAGTGGTGTCAATCGTGGATCTTCCACACCAGGGCAAGGAAACGGGGGCCAAGAGCGGCACCCTGGCTTCATTTGCTCCCCGTAATCTAGAGTCAGTTACTTGGAGCCTCTTCGGTATCATAACTTCACCGAGAGAAGGACATGACTTCAGTACCGAGCAGCAATTCCAAGTGCCCAGGGCTATTTCCAGCCAGACGGGCAGCTAGCTTGCTAAGTGTAGAGTTTTGGTTTGTTTTTTCCTACACACTACTTAAGAAAGTATAGCCATCTGGCCATTTGTACTAGGAGGCCTATTTTAATTGATTCCTGAAATAGTTCGTGGAAAAAAACGGATCATTACCATCTACATGAAACTTTTCAAAAGATAATTTGCTGTTATTTTATGGTGTGGGAAAATGTAACAACAACAAAAAAAATGAAAAGTTTCATAAATCTAGGAGCCGATTTAGTTCACTTTTACTATTTGTCAGTATGCTTTGCATTCAGGCTCTAGAATAGCGGATTGTGGTTATGATGTTTGGTGATCAGAAGGTTAGCCAGGGAAATGCATTCACTTTTCTGTTTGGAGCACTTTTGAGAATTTTATAGAGATCTGAGCTGTTGGTTGGTACCCACTGTTCAAAGACGGCTGAAGGCCAGAACCGGGCGTGCAATTCTGTTAAGACTCTGGGACTGAAAACCAGTGCGGAGGAGGGACCGTTTAAGAGCACTATTCTTCACTGCTTCCCATTCTGTATGGAAAACTCTAAAAGGTCAGCTTTGGGTTTTAAAATTCAGTTTTCAAAAGTCAGCAAGCCATTTTATGTCAGATTTCTACTTTAGAAATGGGGGAAAAATTGTGAGAGTGAAAACTTGAGACAAGTTCTGGGATATGAAGCTCAAAATAAACTTTAAAATTTTTATTTACAAAGTAAATTGTCATTTCTACAAATGCAATTTATCGACAATTTTATAAGGAAAAAAAAAGAACAAAAAATTTAACTTTCCCTTTTACAATGCAGGCAGACAAAACAGAACAAACATGGTGTCCATGGTACACTGGTAAGATGCACTAAGTCCAATCAAAGATGGAGGAGCTACGAGGAGGAACTAGAATGGAAAATAGGCTACAGGAACTGCATGGGCTCAGGAACACAAAGAATTTTTGAGTCTGGCCTAAATAATTAATTGCCATTGACATCATTTTGCTTTCCCTTTGTTAAAGTACATTTTTCTCAAAGTCAGCAATACCTTGTCTACCTGTCCTGTCTGGGAGACTGAAAGATAAAGGTCTGTAAGAGAGAAGAATGGAAAGAGCTAGAAAGATCAGGATGTTCGGGAACAGAGGGCTGCCTTAAACAGCAGTCACTACACCCAGACTAAATCCACCTTCAGAATCACATGAAATGCACAGATCTGACCAGCCTCCTTTGTCCCCTCCCCTCTACCCCGCCTCCCAGGGCGTTTCTGTGAGATTCCTGTACCCCCATCCCCTTCCCCCAAACCCACCCACCTCCCGGCTTAAACCCTCCTCTCCCAGGGTTACCGCAAACCGTTTTCTATCGGAACAGACAAGAGCGCAGCACCGTCCTGCTGTCTTAAGAGTCTGGCAGAGCTTCGTGTGTCTGTCTACTACGTGCTTTCTTCCTCCAGTGCCTAGGTACTTACTACCTTGAAGCCAATGTAATAAAATCTTTCAACAGTTTTGAACACTATGATCTGATTATACTAAGGCTCTAATTATAGTCAGGCTTGTATTTTAAAGAATAAATGCTATTCCTAAAATACTACCTATGTGAATTTAAAAATATGATCAGCAGTTCTGTTCGTCTATCATGATATTCACAATTTTAATTATTTTTTTCCCCTGGTACCAGAGCTTAAAGTCAGGGCTCTGAGCTCTTGCTCAGCCTTTTCTGCTCACAGGTAGTATTCTGCTGCTTCAACCATGCCTCCAGACTGGAGCTAAGAGTCTCATGGCATTTCCTGCCAGGGCTGGCTTCGAACCATTATCCTCAGATCTTAGCCTACTGAGTGTCTAGAATTACAGGTGTGCGCTACCAATGTCTGGCTGAATTTTAACTTATTTTTGTTAAGTGTCTGCTTTACAATAAAGTTTAACTGAAATTAGTCTACACTTTGCTCTCAAATAATTGTCTTAGCCTGCAGAATCAGACCTGATAGATCGAACCAGCTAATGTAACTTGGAAATGAAAAGTAAATGGAGACTTAATACATTTCAGTGTGTCTAGAATAAAGCTGGTCACCTTCCAACGTATTTAAAATACAAGAAAACAGCTAGTTTTACTGAAAGTCAACATAACTTTCAATGTTTCTTCTTAAACTGTGACGAGGACAAAATGGTTTCACTGGACTCAAATCCTATCTCATAATTCAAATATTCGGAGATTCCACATGGGCAGAATCCTAGGATACATGTGTAATTGTGTGCTTTGGTCATAACTAAAACCTACCTATTCAGATCAAAAGGACACAGAAAAAGACTTCCAAATTGGTAGCAGATAACTGTCTATACATTAAAAGATGACCAGTGGATGAACATTAGAAGCACTCGCCAGTACTTTAAATTAACCAGTAAATGATTTAGGTAGGATTATTTCTGTGAAAGGACTTTTTTTTTTTTAAAATCGGTCATGGGTCTTGAACTTAGGGCCTGGGTGCTGTCCCTGAGCTCTTTCATGCAAGGCTAGTGTTCTACCACTTTGAGCCACAGCACTGCTTCTGGTTTTCTGGTGGTTTATTGGAAACAAAGTCTTTTGGGGACTTTCCCACCTGGGCTGGCTTTGAACTGTGATCCCCAGATCTCAGCCTCCTGAGTAGCTAGGATGACAGATGTGAGCCACCAGCGCCGGGCTGTGAAAGGACTTTTTATGTCATGGCAATCATATAACTGCAGCATTTGCATCAAAAACATAACTCTTTTTGTAGCTAAGGAAACACACCTGGTAAGTAAAGTTTTATTGGACCATCAAAAAGCAAATGCCCGCAAGGCCCTTATTCTAGGTCCTTCATGACTTCTGTAAAGGAGTCACGCGGAGGAGCAAACGGGAAAGAAGACTACTACAACAGGTCAGGGCCTGGAAACGTGGAAATTCCGGGCAATGGTCAGGTGATTTTTACAGATGGTTACTGAGAGATCACACATTTTTCATTCATTTTTAACTAATTATTACTAATTATGTCACTGTCCCTTTGCTTTAAAAAAAGAATCTATAACCACACAGCTTTGTGTAGGAATGATGAACGATTCACACATTCCAAGGCATCATTTTGAAGACTTTGAGAGCTACAGTGTAGGGCTTATAGCTCATCTTTCACTATGCTGAATGACGTACTGCAAGCCAACTACACTGTATAATTTCGTGAGTCCTTTTCCTTGCCCTATGAAATTTTCTCTGCTAACCTACCTGATGTTTTCCCTATAGAGACCAGCACTTAAAAACAGACTGCAGGGGCTGGGAAGGTGGCTCCGTGGTAGAGCGCTTGCCTTGCAAGCATGAGGCCCTGGGTTCGATTCCTCAGCACCACATAAGCAAAATGAAAAAAGCCGGAAGTGGCGCTGTGGCTCAAGTGGTAGAGTGCTAGCCTTGAGCTGAAGAGCTGAGGGACAGTGCCCAGGCCCAGAGTTCAAGCCCCATGACCGGACCCCCCCCCCCCCCAAAAAAAAACAGACTGCAGAGCAGAGAAGACACAAACACTTTCAAAAGTTCTATATTTGGCCCAGCACCATTATAAGCTCCTCCTTATAAAACTAGCAGCAAATTCAGCTAGGGAGAAACGCAGGGCAGCTTTGCTTTAAAACACAGAGCTGCAAAGTGTCTTCTGACTCCCAATCTTTCTTCGTGCTCAGATCTCAGACTGAGCCATCGTCCTGTACTTCCGTCAGTGCCACCCTGATCCTTTACAACAGAACAAAGACATTTTTGGAACTCACCTGCTGTAAATTAATTCTTGCTCCTTTTATAGTAATATTTACTCTGGACCAATCGAATGTCTCACGTGTGCACCAGTAATTATAAAAATTGTTTCCCAATCTGAATAGAGGAGCATCCTCAGACAAGGAGGGCTGGGTGGGGTGTCCACGCTCTTCACCTACATCTCCAAACTCCTATTCTAATGAAGATCCACCAAAGCAGCGTGAGCTTGCACGGCCCAGATCCGGTGCACACGGGCTAGCACGGGCCCCGTTTGGGTTGTTAAGTGGGCAGGCACGCCAGCTGCTCCCACAGGCGAGGCTGGAGGACACGCAGCGGGCGCCACACCCGGGCGAGCGCCGTCAGGACCCACAGCCCCGCCGCCCTCACCTCAGACTTCTCCAGTTTGTTCTGCGCGTCGATCTGCGTGACAATCTCATTCATGTTGGTCTCCAGCACCATGCCGCCCATCACCATTTCTGCCAGGATATTGTGAACCTGAGGAAGAAGCAGGAGCACAGGGCAGGCTCACCGCAGAGGCCCTGTCAGGAGCCCCGCAGCACTTCTGTCTCGAGTGCTGCTGGTCTTAGGGCTGCGGCGGTGAGGAGGACGGCAGCCAGCGCCCTCCTCCCGCCTCTCTACTGCGAAGCTTCCGGCAGCTCTCCCACCTCTGGGAGACACAGGTTCAATGGGCTCCACATCAAGGCTATCAGAGGACCTTCCCGGTGGGACTGCTGAAAGGGTTAGACACAGAGGACTGCTTCACACTCAAACCCAACGTGCAAGGCACCGCGCACGCGCCTAGAAATCAGGGCGCCTGAACAGTGTGAGCCACCGCACGAGAACCTCTTTTCATCTGTCAGGAGGGCCACGCACGCCTCTTCTTTCTGTGAAGCATCTGCTGATTCTCTGCAGTGCGGTGTGCTGCCCTCTGCTGGCAGGCCGAGGCTGAGGCTCGGCTGCCATGGCCATGAACGGGGCCTCTGTACTGCTGCTCCCTAGCCACCCAGCCCGCGCCAGGGCCCTGCACCCTGCCCAGCAGCGTATGAAGTAAAAGAGAAAGAAGGACCAGAGCACTGCAACTCCCTAAAGGCATTCTGGGCTCTGACAAGTACAAGGTACTGTGTTCTCTGAATTCAAAGGCTTAGAAGGTAACAATGGAGAAGCTGTACCTTGTCTACATGGAATATTAAGTCCAGCTCACATACATTCTCGAAACATTTGTCTAAGGTCTCCACGAACACCTGGGGAGAGACAAGAAGAAAATGCTTATGAGAACTGCATACGCGCATTTACTGTTTAAAGTCGGCAATTGTTTTTGTTTTTTTTTTGCTGGTCTTGGGGCTTGAAATCAAGACGTAGGTGCTGTCCCTGAGCATCTTTGTACTCAAGGCCAGCACTCTACCACTTGAGCCAGAGCACCACTTCTAGCTTTTTCTGAGTAGTTTATTGGAGATAGAGAGTCTCACAAACTTTTCTGCCCAGACCGAGCTTTGAACCACAATCCTCAGATCTCAGCTAGGATTACAGGCACGAGCCACCAGTGCCTGGGTAAAGTCAGGCAAGTCTTAGCTACACTGAACCTTCTCAATCACCACATTTGCTTTTAGAAACCACATTAAACATGCAAAAGAGAATAAACAGCATTACTTTTCAGGTAAACTACTCCTGAATATGTAAGCATATAGAACAAAATCGTGGAAATTACTAAAATGAGAAAGTCTTATTAGCACTATTACTTATTTAACACACACACACACACACACACACACACGTCTTCAGATGGGGGGAGGGGAGTCCATGTCATCTAAAGCAGCCGTTAAGTACTGAAGACCCTAAAAATGATTTATGGAAAAGCCACATCCTTAGAAGCACTTACCTGGTCACACCCTTGCCTGAACCCTCCACTGTCTGGGAAAGTTCTAGCGCCTGTCCTGGGCCCCGGCACACGGCACCACGTGACACTCAGCACGTTATCTGTTCTTATGGTGTGTGTGGTACTTTTGATGACTGTACACTCTAACTCCTAAAAGCAAGCGAGCTGTCCTTTTCAATGAAAAGGTACAGGCTATGCAGGAAAGCATTAGATAAACGCCCAAAACACAGAGCTGACGTTCCCTGTGTGCTGTGTGTTTTACGTCACTCCTCTAGCCTGAGCCACAGATACTATTACCACTACTAAAAGTATCCTAATTTCACAAAGACGAGACCTAGGAGCAATGTGGGAAATGGCGCCCTCTTGTGTTAAAAAAGCATAAAGTTTAAAGCCAATTCCAACATAACTCACCTAATACTAGTGTACCTACTCGAGCAACAAGGATGTAAAACCTAAAGATTTGATCTCCAGCCTCGAGATTCAAAGTCTAGGGGGAGGTAAATTGTATTTAAGTCACTAAAATTATTTTTTAAGTTTTCATTTTAGTAATTGCAGAAACATATTAATATTAAAAGAATTAAGTATACAGAGAGACACTCAGAAAAATGCCACATGCACATATATACAGGACCTTCTCCTGCAGGTGCAGCATCAAGAGAGCGCTTTAGGAATCTGTACTAACCGCTCAAGGGAAATCACCCTTGCTGTTTAGGAATGAATTCAGAAGGGGTAAACTGGGGTAAAGCAGGATGAATCTTCAGGACATAAGGTTGCTGGTGATATTCCAAGAGACCTCAAAGATGTATGCTTAGTTCCTGGCGAGATGTTCTGGAAAGACATCTTAGTTTAGCTCAAACCCACAATGGAAAATTACCACTGAAAGTATTGATTGGCTACACCAACCAAGCTAAGACAGACAAGCTACAATTAAGATGAGATCAGTAGTTGACGCTGTGTTCACTCCCCGATAGGAACCACGGTGTACACTAGCCAGTCTCCCAAGATGGCGTTTAAGATGTGTACACAGAACTCCATGGTGCAGCCACTAAACCCCACAGGACACAGAAGGCCCAGGGCAATGCCAGTAAGAACGGAGAAGACATTGATAAATGTGCGCAGATAGTTCAGAAAACTTAAGGCTTACCATAATTCTTCAACTTTTTATTAATTTAAGAGGAACTGAAGAACTTGAAAAAGTCTACCAATGTAAGTACTTAAAAATAAACCAAGGGGGGGGGGGTGAGTCAAAACTTTTTGAATGATTAAAGTTGCTAGAAGTGGGGTGTGGCTCCAGTGGTAGAGCACCAGCCTTGAGCACAAGGAGGCTCAGGGACACTCCAGCCTCCACCTCCCAAGTGCTGGCTGGGATTACAGGCATGTAGCACCACACCTAACTTCCTGACTAACAACCATACTCTATTTTTGGAAGACGTTAAATCTGGGGGAAGGGGTCTGGGTGAGCATAAATGATCTGTGATGAAATCTCTGGACTGTATTTGCCATTTTTTTTTTTTTTTGTTGGTTGCGGGGCTTGAACTCTGGGCCTGGGCGCTGTCCCTATGCTCTTCAGCTCAAGGCGAGCGCTCTACTGCTTGAGCCACAGCGCCACTTCCGGTTTTCTAGTGGTTTATTAGAGATAAGAGTCTCACGGACTTTCCTACCCGGGCTGGCTTTGAACCGTGATCCTCAGATCTCAGCCTCCTGAGTAGCTAGGATGACAGGCGTGAGCCACTGGCACCAGGCCTTGCCACTCTTTTTAAAGTCTGAAATCATTTCAGAATAAAACATAAAACATCCACCTAAAAGGGAACTCCCCTGTGTCCCATTCCTCCCTTAAAAGCAACAAGTCTGCACGAAGGAACGATACAGGGAGAATACCAAAACAACCTGAGTGTTTCTATGTTGAAGAAAACACACTTCAAATGGTTTCCAGCTGGAAAACTCTGACCCTGTGAGAGTTCCAAAATGCTTCCTTTACCACCACCAATTCACAACGGGTCCATCTCACTCTGGGCAATCATTTTTACAAAAACACTGGATGGGGGGGTGGAGGTGTGGCTCAGGTGGTAGAGCGCCAGCCACTGAATGTGTCAGATATGAGGGTTGAATCCTGGGTCTAGGGGCAAAAAAAATAAGCTGTGCAGGAAGGTAGGGGGTGTAGTACTTGGAGAAGAGAAACCTGGGGCTAATGAACTAAGTACTCTGCCCAGACTCAGGCTACAGAGCCAGGACTCAAATCCATACTCTCATCGGACCCTAAGAAGCCAACCACAGGGACTGGAGAGGTGGCCACAGGATGTGTAAATGGGAAGTGGAGACCGACCCATCTGATGTCAAGACTCATGGCTAGCAAGGCGCAATGTAAAGCGAGGCGTGATCAGTGCATCTGTAATGACTACCAACCGGACATTTCAACCATGAGAATAAGACGGGAAAGCCATCGGGGAATCCGAACACCCTGACCTCTCCAGTTCTAACTGCTGGTCTTCCACATATCCACAGCGCAGTCTCAGTGAGCAGGCGGAGCCGTACTGTTCCGGTAGTGGAACACCACGCAGGAGGCAGCTTTCCCGGGGGACCCTGGCCCTGCGCTCCGTCCTGTGCCAGGCGCCCAGGCCCCAGCTGTGCCCAGGACCTGTGCCAGCCCTTCCTCCTCTGGGTTAGGGACAGCCCCCAGGTGCTGAGTCTCCACAACAGATGTGAAACCAGGCGGCCCAGCCTCAGCCTTCGGGAGCACACGGTCACTCCCCGCCCCCAGCGGCTTCCATCCCGGTGACAGAGGAGGGCGATGCTACGGGCCATGCCAGGGCTGGCCAGACGTCCCGTACACCCAAGCACCTCGGAGGCACGCACTCCGGGGCCGTAACGGAAGGTTCTTCAGTGTTCTTTTCCCATGGACAGCTCTTCATCGCTCTTAAGCTCTCCCCGTTAAGCCTACTTCTTATCACACGCAAGTGTCACCACACACCGTTCATTCCAAGCCAGCACGCAAGAAAGGAAAAGATGCATGTCTCTAAAAATTAGTTGGCAAGACAGAAGGACTTCTTTATCGGTGTGTCGATGGCTGAGCCGCAGGGTTGTGTACAATGCCGTTTTATTCTGTCAGGGAAGAGGAGCCCAGGGGTGTGGAATCCGGGCCCTGAGCTTGCTAGGCTGGCACTCTTACCCCTTGAGCCATACCTCCAGCCCTGCTTTCTGCTGGTTATTTTGGAAGTAAAAGCCTAGAGAAATTTCCTGCCTGGGCTGCCTCAAACCGGGACACTCACTCCAGGTCGGCCCAGGCAGGCTTGCAGGGTGGGCCGAGGGGGCCTGGCTACACATCCTTCATTCACGTTCACGTTCATGCTCACGCTGAGCTGCGATCACCGTTACCTCCATCCTGCAGATGGGACATGCCTGGGTGGTTTTAACTACGCTGCTGTCGCTCACCGGCCTAACAACCTCGCAAGATCCACAGGCAGCGTGCATGGGACACACTTGCTTCACATGTGAAAAGTTCCAGTCTATGGAGATGAAATGACCTGGCCAGTCCAATACTACCGTGGATCGCGGAGCAGGGGCTCGTGTGACACGGCGAGCTCAGGTTACACACTCCAACACCAGCGAGTTCCTCCGTTTGCTCGCTACTTGCGGCAGCCATTGCTACATGTGGTGGGTAAATTCTAACAGGCCTGAAAATTTCCCGCAGAGCTTTACGGCTCCATGATCTGTGTGGCATAATGAACTCATTGAGGGCGATATGAGTGCTTATAAATAACCCAAGCGGCCCGGCATCAATGGTTAATGAGCTGCTCGACTTACTCCGTAAATATTTTAACACTTCCAACATGCTTCAATGGAAAGGATTAGTCTAGGAAGCTAGCTATTATATTTGCTCTGAGCCTCTACCGCACCAACACAGCAAACACCACAAATGAAAAAAAAAGAAACAGGCCGGGTGCAGTGGCTCACACCTGTCATCCTACCCACTCGGGAGGCTGAGATCTGAGGATCGTGGTTCAAAGCCAGCCTAGGCAGGAAAGTCCCTGTGACACTCTTATCTCCAATTAACCACTCAAAAACCGGAAGTGGAGCGGTGGCTCAAGTGGTAGAGAGCTAGCCTTGAGCACAAAGAGGCTCAGGGACAGCAACCAGACCCTGAGTTTAAGCCCCACAACTGACCCCCCCCCCCTGCCCCCCCCAAAAAAGCAGATTACTCAACCGGATAACACATTGAATTTACTACTACTGCTTTTCCCAGATTTTACACAAGATACAAAGTCAAGTCTGGAGCAACATATGTATGCTTTAGAAACACTAAATCTTTGCATAAAAATGTAAGCACTCAATTACCATGAGTGGTATCATTTCTCTTACTTAAAATATCAAAACGATACATATATGTAAATTTAGTAACTGTTGGTGTTTTCTTGGTCTGCTCTCTGAAGAACAGACAAGCCCAGAAAGTTTTGATCTAAAGTTTCCGTTGCCAACTTTCCACTTTCATTTTTTACATTAAAGTTGTTCTGTCTCAAAACTAGAGGATGAATGAACCTAGAAAATCAGTTCTAACTACAGTCTGGCCAGCTGTCTGACGCAGCAGAAGCAGAAGCAGACAGGCAGGGACCAAGGCCCAGGTGTCCGCTGCGGCAGGTGCAGCTGTCTGACCCAGGCCCAGACTTCCAGCTGCTGCCCCTTCCATCTGAGGTCTCCGGAACATGGGTACTAAGTGGAAACGCCCAGAAGGTCATCAGATGAGAAATACAGACGAAAGGTCGGGGCTGAGCGTCATCCATACACAGGTATTACCCTTGGGTAGAATCGCCCAGCAGGTGAGCGCTAACAAGGGGAAGATACTCAGGACCGAACCCAACTTGTAGAGGGAAACGGAAATGATGCACGCGACAGGGGCCAGGAGGCCAATGATGCACCGCAGGGCCTCGGGTCAGCAGCAGCGTGCCCGAGAGGCTTGCCCAGACGGGTCCGAGGGAGACAGAATTAGGAAAATTTGAGATACTCCACTTAGAGAGAATGAGGCAGGGGGTGGAGGAGGAGGAAGAGAACTTCTTTTTAGGTGGAAAGCACAAGGCACGTATAATGGCAGGAAGAGAAGGCAGGCCCGTGGGAGCAGTGGCGTGAACCCGCTGCAAGGGGACATGGCTGGGCCTTGGCTGGGAGCCCGGGATTCAACCCTCCCAGGAGACAAGGCCGCTGCGGAAAGCCTGGAGGCGGTTAGCAATCATGACCTGACAGCGAGACCCGTCACCATGGCTCTGTTTTTCCTCTGGGCATTTCCAGATGTCTGAACAGACAAGGAGCTGAACGCATAAAAGACCAAGACTTCCTGACCGACAGCGGCCCATGAGCTGAGTAAGGAAAGGTAGGGTCAGGAGGAACAAAGAATGAAAAGTGACAGATTGAAAAAGTGAGAGGCTCTTGGGCTCAAAGATTTAGAGTAAGGGAAATGGGGATAGGAAGAGGCAAGAGGCAAGAGGCAAGGCTGGAAACGCGGCTCAAGGGTAGAGTGCTGGCGAGAGGCTGGGGGGGGGGGGGGGGGGTACGACGCTGACAAAGGAATCAACATCACGCCTAGAAATTAAGTGGGTAGAAAGTCAAGTTCACTGAGGACTGACAGGTTTTCAGATATCGCCCCGTTGAAAGATTCACACACACACACACACACACACACACACACACACACACACACACACACACACACGCTGAGACTATTAAGAATTGTAACACAAGCAATCCTGGAGAGAATGACAGGAAACTAAGAAACAAAACTTGTCAGGAAGACATTTCTCGGTGCATCTGGGGATTCTGTAGACAGAGGCACACAGTCTTTGCTGTGGACTGTCTTCTCAAGCACGCTATACAACAGCCTTGGAAAAGAGTGACTATCTGCCCCCAGAGAGAAGGGTAAGTTTACTTTTGCCATTGGAAGAAAATTCAATCCCTTCCGTCCAAACAGCAGCAGCCATCAGGAAGGCAGCCTGGTTCCACCCGTGTAATTCCACCCGTGTGTACGATTGCCCTGGGCCTCCCAGAAGCCCTGGCATCACTTCCAGAACGAGGTGGTTATCTTAATGATGTGTTTGCTATTAGTAACCAAGTCCTCTGTCTGTGTGCCTTCCCTGCGCACTGATGGAACTATAGCGTGTTGCCTTGTCGGCTTCAGATCGAAAGCTCAGACCTTTGTCGGTAACTGGCAAGATCTCCAGTGAATGAACACGAGAGACAAAGTAGTATTAACAGAAGTCCTGGAGACTGACACGGAGGCCGAGGAACATCAGGAAGGCTTTTCGGGAAACGGAGAGGGGCGTGGTCAGATGTGCACTCGTGCACTGACAGAGGTGTGGCCAGAAGTGAGGCCCAGGAGGCTCCATGGACTCCTGCAGTAACTCACAACAACGAAGAAGGCCCAAGCACGCAGTCTTCATCCTAGCAGGTGCTTTTCCTACAGCCCCGGTGGCACCAGTACTGGGCCGCGTGGCCGGGTATTTGGATGTGGGTCTAGCTGGAGGAAGCAGGCGGCTGGGGACATGTCTTAGAAAGGTATGGCTTGCGCTATAGCCCAAGTCCTCCTTCTTGGCTAGGGCAGGGCAGGCTCCTGGTTTCCGCCACGCCCTTGCGCCTGCCTGGCGGCAGACAGGCCTGGACGCAGTGGAGCCAGCTGACCCTGGGCCAAAATCATCCTTCCTCCTTGAACCTGACCTATATCGGGTATTTCAGCACAGCAGCAGAATGCTACCGAAAATTCCCATCCGAGAGCTCCCACAGAATGCTTAGTTCTTACCAGACACAACATCATGTTAAAAAATTTCAGGGCCAGCAGCCTGGCTCAAGAGGTAGAATATTTTTCTAGTAAGGAGAGGCCTAAGTTCAATCCCCAGCAATATCATGAGAGAGAGAGAGAGACAGAGAGACAGAGACAGAGAGAGAGAGAGACAGACAGACAGACAGATACAGAGACAACGAGACAGAGACAAAAGATCAAACATAAAAGTTTAAAAATAATAACAATAATGATGATCATTGGAAAAGATTACCAGGAAGTGATGTTCGCTCACCTGAATGAGGTCTAAAATGCCAAGTTCGCTTTCTGAGGAGTCCACACAGAAGACAAAATACAGCGTTGCATAGTGTCTGTAGATCAGCTTGTTGTCAGAGCCGCCGATTAACCTACGTGACAAAACAAAGCCACTGGGATGTCGTGGGGAACAGCGACAGGCTGGCTGGCTCGAGCACACTCACAACACGTCCAGACCCTTCCTCAGACAAGGGTTAGTATGCCAAGGCGAAGCACTCACGCGAGCTCACGACCCACACTAAGTAGATTAAGACTCAGCAAGTGCTCGGTGTAGTTGGTTTATTCGTCCGCTGCTCTGTGAGTGACTACTACGTCCCAGCACAGGAGGCGGGTAAGAAGCATGGAGCAAACCAACAGGTGCATTACCAGGTAGTGAAATGCGCCACAGAGGACCAAACCCGGGCCGGCCGCCTCCAAAGGCTGGCACTGAGGTTCATGTCTCAGGTGGGAGACGCCACGAGAAAACTTAGTCGACATTTGGGGTTAATGTGACAATCAATCACGAGCAAGTACAAACTTTCAAGGAAGAAAAAGGCCAGTGGACAAGGAAAGATTAGTAAACCAAGTCAAAGAAACAGGCAGAACTTAGGTCACAGTGTTGTAAGCGCTTACTGGATGTAACTCCATAGGCCACACAAAGTTACACAGCTTAAGACTGATTATCAACTAGAAAAAAAAAAAAAAAGGATATTTCTTAAGTTTTAGATAGATTTGCAATGGCGGTCTCCTGCAAAAGCACATCGTTTTGAAATTCAAACAAAAGAAAACTGAACGTATGGTCAATTCATTCGTGAAACACTTTAGGCTGGTTAGAATGTCAGCAGTTTAAAAACAGTAACTTATGAACCATTCCAGACCTCTTATTTCCTACAGTTTAGGCATATCGTAACTACGTTTACTATAACAAATTCACCTTCTCCTAAGACTCCTTAATGCTAAGGTAATTTAATATCAAGGCTACTTAAAGGATCCAAACAGCACGTAAGTAGAGTCTGTCTGTCTGTGTGTCTGTGTGTCTCTGTACTAGCCAGGGCTTACACTTGGCCTCACTGCATGTGCTTGGCTGTGGATGGCGTTCAAGAATTAGAGGTAGGCCTGGAGTCCTGAGCACGCAGTTCTTACCCAGAAAACACAACGCCAAGCTTACAAGTTCTGCAGAAACAACTTCTATTCTATGTCATCCAACACCAAAAACAGAAAAGGATTAAGAACTCCTGCTATGCCAGACGCTTCTAGAAAAGGTCTTCAGCTAAAAGAATGAATGTGCACTTCCAAGATTCTGAGATTATGTGTGTGACTATAGTTACAATGGTCCCCTGAAATGACAAAGCAGCACAAACAACAGACTTCACTTCCTTCTAAAACAGTGATTTAAATTTTTCTTTTTAGCTTTCATTAAGAAGAAGAAAAAAAAAGGCAGTCTTGGTGTGGTAGCACATGCCTATAATACTCAGAGGTAAGAAGATCAATCAGCCTCTGAGGCTAAGCAGGGTCCAGTGTGTGATCCTATCTGAAAAACAAAGTACAGAAAACAAAAGAACGTGGTTCAAGGGGTAATAAACTTGCCCAGCAAGTGTGCTAAGTTCAAACCCTGAGGAAAAAAAATAAAGACCAAGCTTAAATTCAAGCAATGGGAAGAGTACCTGCCTAGCAAGTATAAAGCCCTCAGTTCAAACCTTACCAATAAAAAGAAAAGAACTGGGCTGGTAGAGCGCTTGCCTTGCATGCATGAGGCCCTGGGTTCGATGCCTCAGCACCACATAAGCAAAAAGAAAAAAAAGCCGGAAGTGGCGCTGTGGCTCAAGTGGTAGAGCACTAGCCTTGAGCTGAAGAACTGAGGGACAGCGCCCAGGCCAAGAGTTCAGGCCCCATGACCGGACCCCCCCACAAAAAAAAAAAAAAAAAAAAAAAGAAAAGGAAAGAACTGCAAGTCAGATTTCTACCTGAACCAAGAAACTTATGGTCAATGAAATTCTTTTTTCATAAGCATCAAAGACTAACATACTGCAAGTCTAGGTGTGTCTGACCTGTGATCAGTCACAAAGCTCAGCTAAGAATTATTCTGAATTCCCACTAAGGATGTATATTACTAAGCATAGATTGACTATGTAAATGGGGGTAATGTATTTATGAAAACATTAGAAAGCAAACTGATGTCAGCTGAAACCATTAATTTAAAAGTTTATACTACTTAGCAAACTAAGTACAACTAATCTTATTTATTCACTTTAAAAATAGAAAAAGCAGTCAAGTGCTGGTGGCTCATGCCTGTCATCTTAGCTACTCAGGAGGCTGAGATGTATCATGGTTCTAAGCCAGCTAGGGTAGGAAAGTCCATGTGATCCTTATTTCTAATGAACCACCAAAAAAGCCAGAAGTAGAACTGTAGCTCAAGTAGTAGAGTGCTGGCCCTGAACAAAAAAGAAGCTCAGGGACAGTTAGCAAGCCCTGAATTCAAGTGCCAGGATTGGTGCTAAAAAAAAATTATATATATATATATGCTGAATCCTGATCTTTAGATGTACAGAAAAATATATCTGAAAGCCGGGCGCTGGTGGCTCACACCTGTAATCCTAGCTACTCAGGAGACTGAAATCTGAGGATCGCAGTTCAAAGCCAGCCCAGGCAGGAAGGTCTGTGATACTCTTATCTCCAATAAAACACTAGAAAACCGCAAGTGGCGCTGTGGTTCAAGTGGTAGAGCGCTCGCCTTGAGCTGAAGAGCTGAGGGACAGCGCCCAGGCCCAGAGTTTAGGCCCCACTACCGACAAAAAAAAAAAAAAGAAAGAAAGAAAGAAAGAAAAATATATTTGAAAAACATGTCAGCCGTATTTGTAATAACAAAATAAAAAGGACATAACTTTTCTGAATACTCACAGTCATTAAAAATGAGGTTGCTCAGATGTGTTTATAGGTGAAGCTTTTCAAAATATTGGGCAAAAACAAGCAACATGCAAAGAGCATAGAGCGTGACCTCATCAGCAGTATTTTTAAGGTTATACCTTTTGTATGTTAGTAAATGCAGATGAATTTTCTAGAAGGATACAAAAGGAACTGGGAAGGACGAAGGTTGGGGAAGACAGACTCACTGAGTATCTTCTTGTAACGTGGGGGTTTTTACCGTGAGGATACATTACATTGCATTTGTATGAAATGCTCTTACCCTTCTGTTAGGGAGAGAGCATAGATGGACAGTTTGGGTTAGATTCACGCTGAGGGGAAGCACTTAATCCACCTGCTCCAGTCACAGCGGCACTGACAACAGGTCATGTGATACCAAGGGGACAGGCGGACTTACAAGCCTCCTTCCAGGAAGTTGCACACATTCTCGTCTCTCTTGGACACTAGGTGGAAGGTCTCCCGGATGATCTGCTGCTGGGTGTCTTCACTCTGAGGAGGAACGGTGCAGAGGCGTTAGTTACCACGTGCTTACAGGTTCAGCAACAGTGAAGGGCTTCTGAAAAATAAGAGGAAGTTGAGTGCAAGCTGAAAAATCCATCTATGAGAGGGAGCCCTGGAGAGTGACTTCAGGCACAAAAGCAAAGCCCAACATTTTTCATAAGATTACCATTACAATAAAAGTAAATTATTCCACTTTACAAAAACTAAGCCCCCAAAAAAATAGATGAATCATATGCAGCATTTACTTCTGACCTTGAATTCTGCAAAGCAAAGCAATCAATGCCTGAGCAACAGGGCTTTTCAGATATGCAGACTCTCAGGAAATCTGCCTCCCGTGACTTTTTCTCAAGAAGTTTCTGGTTTTGCTACACTAAGAATCAAGAAACTGGAGTCCAGATGAGAAGAATCTCTAGGCTAGCTGAGAGCCTAAAGTGGAGGCCCTGGAACTGGTGAATACTGTCCTGTTGGAGACTCTAGAAAAGACTCCTTCAGGAATGGAAAATGGCAGAAGGCACTGATATACTTTAGACAGCTAGCAAACAAAATGAATCAGTGACAATAAAAAAAAAAAAACAACAACAAGTAGGTTGGGAGATGGTCATCCTAGCTTACTCAGGAAGCTGAGATCTGAGGATCGTGGTTCAAAAGCAGCCTGGACAGGAAGGTCCGTGAGACTCTGATCTCCAATAAACCACCAGAAAACTGGGAGTGGCGCTGTGGTTCAAGTGGTAGAGCTCCAGCCTTGAGCTGAGGAGCTGAGGGACAGCGCCCAGGCCCAGAGTTCAAGCCCCACGACTGATGACGACGAAGGGCAATGACAACAACAACAACAAAAAACAAAAACACAGCCGGACGCCCGGTGGTCACTCCTGTCATCCTAGCTACCCAGGAGGCTGAGATCTGAGGATCACGGTTCAAAGCCAGCCCGGGCAGGAGAGACGGTGAGACTCTGATCTCCAATAAAACACTAGAAAACCAGACGTGACACTGTGGCTCACGCAGCAGAACACTCGCCTTGAGCTGAAGAGCGCAGGGACAGCGCCCAAGCCCAGAGTTCAAGTCCCACGACCGATCAAAAAAAAAAAAAACAACAACAACAACACTAGACCAAAGAATAAAGCAATTATAACCTACCAAAATAAAACATCAAAGGAAAAAAAAAACCAAGCACTACTTACAAGCTGTCTCCATTAAGGACAGGTTTACGCTTACGTAACACATAGGTATAAAGGTGGAACACTGACTGGAGTGAGCGTGAGGGGAGGGGAGCCGCGGGGGCTAGCGAGTGGTCGCAGCCGTGGGAGCAAGTGCACATGTGCACAAGTGCCCCACAACCAGGAGAGCAGCTCCAGCCGGGGCACAACCGGAGTTATTTCTTAAGAGAAACCCTGGAGAACTGCCAGATAATCCACCCAACCTGTACCTAGAGCGACAAGATCGAAGCTGAAGGCATGAGGGAAGGATGCGTCTGTCCCCTCTGATGACTGTGACAGCTTTAAGGTCTGTCAGGTGACAGACCTGCTGAATAGCCTGATTGAAACTAAAGACATCAACAGAGCAAACTGAACCCCACAGAAAAAAAGAAGCATTACTTTTCAGGCAAAAATGTAACATTTAAGAATGAAACTCAAGGTGAAGAAAGGCCTGATGTCATCTACAAAGAACTGTACTCATCACCTCGCTTGTTAATATTAATACACACACACACACACACACACTTTTGTCAGTTATGGGGCTTGAACTCTGGGCCTGGGCACTGTCCCTCAGCTCTTCAGCTCAAGGCTAGCGCTCTACCACTTGAGCCACAGCGCCACTTCCGGCTTGTTTCTTTTTTCTTATGTGGTGCTGAGGAATGGAACCCAGGGCCTCACGCATGCAAGGCAAGCGCTCTACCACTGAGCCACCTTCCCAGCCCCTATTACTATATATATTTTTTAATGGAAATCACTATGGGAGGAGGGCCTTGCTTTTTAATCGAACTAAGGTTCAGAAAGTAGAGTCTGCTGATGTAGGGACAATTTCCCTTTTGAGATGTAACTCCCAGGGTGGGACTGGGAGGTGACAGAGCTTTCCGGAAGCGGAGCCCTGTGACAGGAAGTGAGGTCCCGGGGGTCATGCCACTGAAGGGGTGCTGGGGCCTCACCGGCTCTGCTCCCCACCATACTCCAATGTCAACAGGGCCCACCAACCACGGAGGAAAACTTGGGATCCCTGAGCTAAAACGAGCCTCCCCCCTCCATCTGTCTGCTTCAGGTCCTCCCGCCCCTGCTGGAAAGCGGTGGCGGGGGGGGGGGGGGGGGGGGGGCGTCCCCTGCTGGAAAGCGGTGGGGGGGGGGGGGGAGGGGGGGGCGTCCGGCGTCCCCTGCTGGAAAGCGGTGGGGGGGGGGTGCGTCCCCTGCTGGAAAGCGGTGGCGGTGGGGGGGGGGGTCGTCCCCTGCTGGAAAGCGGTGGCGGTGGGGGGGAGGGCGTCCCCTGCTGGAAAGCGGTGGCGGTGGGGGGGGGGCGTCCCCTGCTGGAAAGCGGTGGCGGTGGGGGGGGGGGTGCGTCCCCTGCTGGAAAGCGGGTGGCGGTGGGGGGGGAGGGCGTCCCCTGCTGGAAAGCGGTGGCGGTGGGGGGGGGGCGTCCCCTGCTGGAAAGCGGTGGCGGGGGGGGGGGGGGCGTCCCCTGCTGGAAAGCGGTGGCGGTGGGGGGGGGGGTCCCCTGCTGGAAAGTGGTGGCGGTGGGGGGGGGCATCCCCTGCTGGAAAGCGGTGGGGGGGGCGGGGGAGAGGGACCCCTGCAGAGCCGCTGCAGGAGACCTGGAGAGAACCCATGAACCCACGCCCCGTGGCGCTGGCGACAGGAGGAGGGAGGTGCTGTGTGCTGGGAGCCAGCCTAACCCGGCCCGCGCCACTGCCCAGCGACTCCAATGCAGTCAGCCTGACCACAGCTCGCTCCCGTATAGAGAGGCAGCTGGAAAACTGGCTTTTATTTCGCTTCCCTGGGCTAGCCTCTCCCCCCAGGGCTCAGTGGTACCGGGGCACAGAGGAGAGCAACTGAGCAGGAGGGACAAGCCCCGGCCGAGCTGGGAAGGGGCTGGCGCGGCGTGGGGGCCTGGCCTGGTCCCTGCCACGCTGTCCTGCCAGAACTCAAGCTGCCCGCTTCTGTCCCGACAATGCCGGGCCGGCCCCGCGCGGCCCTGTGCCCGTGCCTCTGCTGTCGCCTGACCCTCTGCCGCGCCGCCTTCCCTTCTCCTGCGTCTCTTGGTCATCCTTCACATCAATCGCCACCTGTAGCGTGTCTGTCTCTACAGTGTAAGCCACCGGCCGCCAGCGCTTACCTCCGGGCCCTAGGGACAGCAGGCAAATACCTGCTGAAGGGCTGCAAGCTGGAAAAGAGAGAACTGGGAAACGGAGCGCGATCAGGTAGTTCCCACACAGGACAGCCCCCCCCGCCCCTCCTCTGGCCAACATGGAGTCTCCCGAGGCCCTGTCAGCGGGAGACCCTGCCAAGGGCCCGCTGAGCACTGCTCATCCTGCAGCACCAGCTCTGCACGGCGGCGTGACCTGCGGCGCGGCAGCTGGCGTAGCTGGGGAGGGCAGGCACAACAGGACAGGGAAGGATGCGAGTCAAGGGGCTGGGAGGGGACCAGCCCTCCAGATGGCCCACGACCCGCAGGCCTTCACGTCAGCACGCGCAGATCAGTTCATGACCCTCAAAGGCCCCAAAGGCCAAGCCCCAGAAGGAGACTTGCGACCTTCCAACAAAGTTAACAAAGATGCACACACTGAAAAGGGTTGTCAGCAAAATGGGAAGTGTTCTTGTACACCCAGCTGATATTTATGAGATCAATTTTGTAAAAGAGAAAGACAGAAAACACGCACAAATGAGCAGCGTGTCGCTGACATACAGCAATGTGTGTGTGTGTGCGTGCACTAATACTAGGGCTTCAACTTGGGCCTGAGCACTACCTCTTAGCTTTTGTGCTCAAGGACAGCACCCTACCAGGGGATCCACAACTCCACGTCTGGCTTTTTGCTGGTTAACTGCAGATAGAAATCTCACAGAATTGCCTGTCTGGGCTGGCTTTGAACCTCTATCCTCAGATCTCAGCCTCCTAAGTAGTTAGGATTACAGGCGTGAGCCACCAGTGTCCGGCTTTAAGCTAAAATTATTATTATTATTATTTTGGTAGTGGGGCTTGAGCTCTGGGCCTGAGCGCTTTCCCTCAGCTCTTCAGCTCAAGGTGAGCACTCTACCATTTGAGCTATAGCGCCACTTCTGGTTTTCTCGTGGTTTATTGGAGATAAGAGTTTCACAGACTTTCCTGTCCGGGGTGGCTTTGAACTGTGATCCTTAGATCTCAGCCTCCTGAGTAGCTAGGATTACAGGCGTGAGCCACCAGCACCCGGCTTAAGCTAAAATTTTTAAGTAAAGAACAATGTTAAGAGTCTCCCTAGGGCTTGCATTTGGTTGACCAAGAACTTAATAATCAGATACAGCTTCTGCAGAAATTGAGGAAATGAAGGTTTTTACAGTTTAGAAATTTTCCTGTGCATACATAAGTATATATATATATACATACACACACACTGTGTGTAGAGCATCTGCACAAATACATATAGGCTCTGTGAAGAACCTATTATATCTACAGAAAGAACTAAGCTCATATAAAACAAAACACTTCCCCTTTATTAGAGTGACTCACCAAAGTGCATGTTATGGTGCACTAATTACACAAAAAATATAACCCAAGGGTTTGCTTTCTTGTCTGGTAGCCATATAATAAAGACTACAACTTATGAACTACCTCAGCAATATACAAATATTGCCAGGAAAATGTGGAAAGGAGAAGGTTACTGTTGCCGAGTCACCGTGGCTAAGCCTGGCTGGACGGAGACAAACCCAGACAGCCTCTTGCCCTTCTCCAGTGATAGCTCAAGGGCACCAAGGCAAGGCAGGGAGGGACCGGCCCTGACTCCATCCGCTACAAACCCTCTTTATTTTCCT